TTCAAACACACAAATATACCGAGATAGGGGTTAAGGAATTGGTTTAATGGTATTATTTGTACACTATGAATTTAAATTTTACACTATACATGCCGGAGTTGCCTGTAATTTGTGGCTTCTTCAGAAATAAAAGAAAAAAGAAAACGACGTGTAATTATACCACACGCTACTGAAGCGAAACTTCTTCAAACACACAAATATACCGAGATAGGGGTTAAGGAATTGGTTTAATGGTATTATTTGTACACTATGAATTTAAATTTTACACTATACATGCCGGAGTTGTCTGTAGCGAACGTTGCATTGAAGCGCGCTCACGGCTCAAGCGATCCCCACTACGAACTCGACTACGTGGCCGAGTAGAGGGGGAACATCCGTTGCATGATTTCGTTACATAGCAACTCGCATGAAACGAACTTACCCTACCGTACGTAAAGTAGTTTCACTTCAAAAAAACAGTTCTGTAAAAGCCACGATGTGACAAGACATACGTCACGTTGTTTATCCCTAAAGGCTCGCACAGACATATTGGAACCGGACGAACAGGACGGAATGGTAAAACATAACATTTTAAAACTCTGCCTAGTCTTCAAGAATTTCAATAAAAATCCCAACGCTGTCTACCGTGCGTGCCGTCCTGCCGTGCGCTACAGGTCGGAACCTTTTCGCTTATTATAATGATGTTCTTAATCGAAAACCCCCTATAAAGTTTTCCTCTGAGAAACTCAAGATTGACATTAATGTTAGCTAAATGTCGATGTACGTGCGTTAATGTAAAAAAAAAACGATCGGTACATACTGTCCATTTCAACTTGTAAGAATTGTGACCTTGAAGAAATCTGCGCGAAGATAGAAAAAATACACACTACGAGCAAGCAAGACAGAAATAGTTGGAACAAGCTTGAACGAGCAGAGTTCTCGATGGGCGGTCTTAGGAGATCGGCTAGAAATGTACAGTTCTAGATGCAAATGTTTAGCAATTTCCTAAAATAAAAATGTATATAAATTAACAATAGAAAACAAAGCAAANCTGTGTGCCCTTGGGCCAAGTGCGTACCTTGTGTGTCCTTAGGCCAAGTGCGTACCCCTGTGTGTCCTTAGGCCAAGTGCGTACCCTTGTGTGTTCTTAGGCCAAATACGTACCTTGTGTGTCCTTAGGCCAAGTGTGTACCCCTGTGTGTCCTTAGGCCAAGTGCGTACCCTGTGTGTCTTTAGGCCAAGTGCGGCTGGTGGCTGGCGAATCGAGCACTTCAAATAGTCCGATAAACTAATTTTGTAATTCAAGTTGTGCCGAATATTTACGTTGTCGTGAAAAAAGACAAAGGAATATTCGACTTGAATCTTCCATCCTTATTTTCTCACGGTGTAGAGCTCATGTGACCATTACAGGACACCCTGCATAATTATAGAGATAAAGATGCGTAAAAATATCGCTTATTTCTTTGAGAAGATGGAAGTACGTTTGTCGCTTGCCTCATCATCGACATCTCTTGTTCAAGTTTTGTTATAGGAATATTATGATAGGAAATTAATTATTGTAATTAGGCAGAAAAAGAATAGATACACAGAGGCAAAAGATTTTTACGCTTAGATAACTTCCCTTTGATCTATATTAATAAATTTGAAAAAGAATTCTATAAGAAAGGGTTAGAAATGAGTAGGAGAACAGAGGCAACTTTGGATGAGATAGGTTGGTAGGACACCTTCTCAGGCATAAAGGGCTACTTAGAGACATATTAGAAGCAGAAACAGGAGCTAAAAGGAGTAGAGGTAAACCTAGATTAGTTTACTTTCATAAATAGTTAAGAATGTGAAGTGCTATACATTTAGGGAAATGCGAAGATTAGGATTAGATTAAGACCAGGATAGGAAAAAGTGGAGGTGCATGTCCAACCAGTCTTAGGAAAAGGACTGATGACATTATCATGATGATCTTCCAAGAAATTCGGATTCCTTTTTTTATTTATTTTTTTTGTTATTTTTGATCCATTGGCATCGTAAAAGAATGGGCTATTAAAGTAAAACAAACGGTATTTTATACTGCAACAAACGTCATCGGAAAGTCCGATTTAACTGACTTTTTATTAAGTCAAGCGTAATACAGGGTTAGCATATGAATTTGAATGCAGAATAACGCAGACATATCTTTCTATTACAACTATTACTTTGTATTTTTGCTTTGGTGAATACAAAATAGTTGTTATTATGTAAAAAAGGTTTACTTAAGTTGCTGTTCTTTTAACTATAAAGTTTAAAGTCCGTTACCTATTTTTGCCTCAAATAATAGTTTATTTATTAATGTGTTATTTGGACATCATCATGGCCAGCGGAACATATTTCGCATTTCAGATCGTACTTAATGTGGCAAGCTTCATTTCATTACCATATGTTAAATTATTCATCAGGCTTAAAATTTGCTAACTGTATCCTAACCACATATCGAATTCTTTCTTGTACAAATATTTGACACATTTAGTTTATGACGATTCCGATTCGGTACTTCTCAATAATATTTTTTTTTATTGGATCAATTAGTTGTTTATTTTGCCCTAGGTAGCATCAGCTATTAAAAATTAATCTATAAATAGACTTTATATAGATGCACATTGCAATGCACCTTTTCTTTTAAATGCTAACGAGGCAATGTATCTCTTTAGTGTTTTAAGAGACACTGAAGGCCAACGTACAACAGTTTCTAACCAGAATGTAGGTACTAATTGCAGATGAAATAAAAAGGGAGAGCAAAGTTTCCTTTTCGAGTGTACGTTTGCAATTACAGCATTTGGGTGAAAGGCTGATGGACGGGACGAGAATGCACAAATGTGTCTTTTTCTAGATGAAGTGAAATGTTGGATGTAAATTTGTTCGGATGCGAGCACTTATTTTGCCAATTATAAATACAAATTTGTTAAGAGTCACACAACGTTTTCAGTTTTCACACGAATTACAAAAGGCAAACTGCAGGAACTCATAATCTTTTCTGATTCGGATATTTTTTGTTTCCTTGACTATGAATAGTGATCAGCAAAATTGGTTTTGGTATTGCAGTCTTGATGGTCTTAATCTTGCGAAAATGTAAGAGTAAGACTTAGATCAAAACTGTTTTTATACCAGTAATACCAAGAAAGGACGAACAAAACCAAGACTAAACCCAGGAAGCATCTTTAATATATTCTTTTATTGGAAAAAAACATTTTTAGTATCTGAAATTTTCAGTTTGCTCTACACTAAATATAAAAAAAGAAACTTTACACTTCCGACGGATTTATGAGTTAAACTATTTGAAGCAAGTTTAATATATTCCTTTTCTTGGAAGAAAACATTTTTAGTATCTGAAATTTTCAGTTTTATTTACTAGATTTTAACACTAGATAGATAAAAAAAGGAACTACCACTGTTTGAAAAAAGGGATCTATAAGAATCTCCACGGAGTAAGTGTTCTCTGATCCTATATTTGGATAGCACATGGTTGAAATATAGAGAGAAACTAATTTTGTTTCGTTATTTTTTACTTCTTTGGATAATTACCAATGTTCTCCTATTAATACCCGCTTATGATAATGTGTGAAAAAGTTATACCACCAAATTGATTTTCATTTACGAGCACATACTTTCGATAAGATCAATGATCCAGTGCCCTCCTTTCCGGTTAACTTCTCAGCTCATTCTTCCATTTGCCCCTCTACACATTACGCCTAAAAGATGAGCCCACATACACCACACCACCTCCTTCTTTCCAGTCTAACGCTCGATGATTTCGCCTTCAATCAACCCTACTTTCCGGATCAACCAGTACTCCTTCCTATATTATTTAAAATTACAAGCACGGTTTCCTCCAAATTTATGCTTGCTCTAAAAGGAATGTCTAAAAAGCATCAATTTAAAATCCGAAAATCTGGTTGTTTGTAGGAGCATTGAAGAGCGAATGAGTAAAGAAATTGGTGAATTCTACTAATTGTTGTTTATTATTGAATCGTCAAATGTAAAAAAATACCTACATAAAAGGTTTTATTTCTAATTTTTCTTCATAGCCCAATCGTTTTAAACTACAAAATTATATTTAAAAAAGTAAGTTATTAAAATGTATGGGGCAAATTTTCTAATTTTATATCTCCCTTTATAATTTTGCAAATGGTACTGTACACTTTTGTCTAGCTCTCGCTCGATGATCGGTGAAGAAATGAGCTACGCAGACAAATATGATAGAATTTAGAATTATGCTACGGCGCANTCAAATGTAAAAAAATACCTACATAAAAGGTTTTATTTCTAATTTTTCTTCATAGCCCAATCGTTTTAAACTACAAAATTATATTTAAAAAAGTAAGTTATTAAAATGTATGGGGCAAATTTTCTAATTTTATATCTCCCTTTACTGTCATAAGAAGCGATATTTCGAAACTTCAATACGTGTAATGGTTTTTGTGATTTCTTTTGTGCTACTACAAGTTTCATAAACCTGTCAGTGTACAGGGGGGTGCTTGAGGTATATATATTTTTAATGGAACACTATATATTTTCAAAAATTTGAAATTCTGATTTCGAAAATGTTAAAACTTCATCTATTATTCCTTTCTTCTGCTGAAATGAGGACTTTACAACTGGAAGGATATTTAAAAAGGATAACTAAAATAAATTAATGCAAATAATTGGTTACGTGTTTTATGGTTTTGATTGTGAATTGAGGACGATTTGTAATATTGAAATGAGATAAAAGATTTGAAGAAAAAAATTGATACAATATTTGTAAATGATAGAAATTTAAGATAATTTTTTTTTCTTTTTTTTTTTTTTAATATGTATTTCGTAGGCTATTAGAAACTTTTCTACCGTAATAACTTAATGATGCCGTAACATTTCTATTGTTTTCCAAATAATTATCATATACCTAATTTCTCAAAATTATTAAACATAAGATACAGATAGATCAAGACCGAGATCATCGTAATCTCAAACTTTATTTAGTTCTTACAATCAAAGTCAACTCTTTGTATTATAAGTCACACTCTTATTTAGTATTCAAGTAATTAATAACTGCATAATTCATATGACATAAAAATTAACAAGATGTATGTACAGCTAAATTAATAAATATTTGTAAAAAACTTTACAATGAGTCCTTGTAATTTTCATTTTCGTAATAAGCGTAATCTTCTGATTTTGTGAGATAAGGGAATTGACTTTTAGCAGGATTATCATTCATCTTGGATCCTTCAGGACACCCGAACGTCGCAGAAAAAATTTCCGAGTTGGACACTATATTTTCCACCCTCATTGGTGCCGGCAACGTTTCTGATTCAAAAGCATCTTTCATGTATTTGTAGGGATCTATTTCTGTACAATATTCTGCAAATTTTTAATATAAATATATAATAATCGATCAGCTCTTTGTCATCGTGAAGTTACCTTGTGCAACAGCTATAAAAAATATTTTTTCTCGGGAAAATGTCTTCATTATGAAAGGCAGTAATGGCTCTTGGTCCAAATTTTCCAGGTGTTCAGAGACCAAACGAAATCCTGTATTTTCAGCAATTCGATCTTTGATTGATAATTCAGGATCAATCTATAACATTTCAATGGTTGTTGATTTAAAATGTAAACTGTATTTTTTTAAATTTCGTTTCTAATTTAATTGTCGATTTAATTGCGATAAATAAGATGTTTGGCATTTTATAAATTTTCCTATCCACCTGTATGCGTTTTATCTATACATTTTGCCCCTATTACATCAAGTTTCCTCAAGGTAGCTGTTTGTCGTTTGTCATATTAATTTTAAAGTCAAATAATTCATTAATTTTCAATTATTTCTCGCATTAAACGATACCATACCGATCTGTGTTGAAATTGTCAAACGCAGATCGCGATTTCGTTGTCACTAGATCTCATTAGCATGCTATAGATAATTCCAACAAAATACGTCTAACACTACTTGCTGCCATTAAACATCGTCATACCAACTTGTCGTCTTATTGCTTACACTCAATTTAATATCCATTACACGTTTCTAATATCAAAAATTCTACTCCCTCGGTTACTCACATTTTTTATTAAATTATTCAAAGCTTAAGGTAATTTTCATCATTAAAGACAGTACAACTGTAGTGATAGATATACAGGGGCAAAAGATTAGTATGCTTAGATTTGCAGATGATATAGCAGTATTAGCATCTTGTAATGAGGAGTTAGAGATAAATTTAAATGAAATGCATGCGATACTGACAAAACAGTACTGTAAAAAATAAAAGTAAAACAAAAATACTGGTATGGAAAGGAAGGAAAGGTAGGGGAAGAGCAAATATAAAGATAGGAGACGAAGGATTAGAAGAAGTGGCCGATTTTAGGTATCTAGGAAGTTAGATAAGTTGAAACAAAAGGAATAGCAGGGATATAAAGCAGAGGATAGTGCAGGGTCGAGTCGCCTTCAATAAAAAGAAATCGCTTCTATGCTCGCGAACGGTTAACTTAGAAATTTGAAAAAGGTTGTTAAAGGTGTATGTTTCGTGTGCAGTGCTGTAAAACATGGACAGTGGGTGCGGTGGAAAAGAAAAGGTTAGAGTCGTTCGAAATCTGGTGTAACAGGCGAAAGATGAGGATAGAGAAGGTTAGAAACGAAGAGACATTAGAAAGAATAGGAGAACAGAGGACTCTATGGAAATCAAAAAGAAATAGGCGAGATAGGTTAGTAGGACACCTTCTCCGGCATGAAGGTCTAGTCAGAGAAATATTACAGACAAAAACGGGAGTTAAAAGGAGTACAGGTAGAACCAAATTAGATTACTGTTCGCAAATAATTAAGGATGTGGGATATTCTAGTTTTAGGGAAATGCGAAAATTAGCTCAAAATAGGAAAGAGTGGAGGTGCGTATGCAACCAGTCTTAGGACTGACGACTTTGTGCTGATGATAAGGTAATTTCTATTCATTCTTCAAGCGTATATTTCACATAATAGAAAATAAGCATTTAAGGAAATAACGTTTACCTTCAATCTGAGCGTCCGTTTTCCTAAAGTTCTTGTCAATTCTTTTAAAAGAACGTTTTTCATGAAAGTTTCCATGGCAGTGTATGTTGAGTTTTGAGCGCCTTTCAGCTTTAAACCGTAGTGCCTTCCAACCGAATCGAAATGTTGACCTATTTCTCTAGCTAAGGCCATTCCGACCTGCGCTTTTGTCAAATACGATGGCAAACTAACATCGTACTTTCTAAGTACAGCAGGCGGAAATACTACAGAAAAAAGTCAGTTATTAAACATCAAATTCGTATTATTTTTCTTTAAAATATTTCAGTATCAAAAATATCAAGACTGGGTACTCACTTGTAAGCTTTTTTGAATAAACGGTAAATGGTTTCATCTCATATGTAGTAATCAACGGACCCCAACTAAAGGAAAAATACTAAGTTCATTAAAAAATTATCAGACATTTCAAAAGGGCATTAATTGTAATCTTATCCTAGATTTCTGATTTCTGGGGTTCACCGTTGCTGTAATCCTTTTACAAAAATTTCGCTAGATTATACGCAGACAGTACTATACTGCAAATTCTATAGAGTTATTCCTACTACTTTTCAAAACTTATTTCTCTATTCAAGTTTACTCAGTATTTTTCCATTTTCAATAACTAACCTACATTAAATGGAACATTAATTGTACGCGTATTTTTGAGGCAGTGTATAGACGTAGGAATACAGAAACGGAACATAAACTAACAGGGGGAGCCTGTCAGTGGTGCGTCAGCCTGTCAGCGGTGCGTCAGTCTGTCAGCGGTGCGTCAGCCTGTCAACTGTGAGTTAGCCTGTCAGCTGTGTGTTAGTCTGTTAGTTTTGCGTCAGACTTTCAACGGTGCAGCAAACTGTCAGCAGTGCGTCACCTGTCAGCGGTGTGTTGCCTATCAGCGGTGCGTCAGTCTGTCAACTGTGCGTTAGCCTGTCAGCGGTGCGTCACCTGTCAGAGGTGCGTTGCCTATCAGCGGTGCGTCGCCCGTCAGTGGTGCGTCGCTTGTCAGCGGTGCGTTGCCTGTCAGCGGTGCGTTGCCTGTCAGCGGTGCGTCAGCCTGTCAGCGGTACGGCAATAGGTGCCTTGATTCTATTGGCTAACAATATTGCACAGGCATAATACATCAATCACAATGTAATTCAATTGATTGCCGACAATCAGCTGACAAAAATACGCAGATAATAAAATCTAGGCGCCACTGTATGATGGGCACCAGTCATCCTGAAAAGCTCACTCCACTCGTGTACCTATGATGACACATTATTCTCCGTTCCTGTATTCCCATATCTACATATACATTAATCAGTAAATAGTAGGAGTTTAAAATACCCTTTGCAGTATATTCAACCTCAAAAGTTCAATAATAATTTTTCAGCTCATTTTTGATTTTTTTTTATTTTCCATATTATTTCTGCTGGTAATAGAAAATAATAATATTTATTCTGCGTATCTTTTACTATTGTTAGTGGGAGTTGGTTCTATTTACTGATCCGATCTACATATCCGAAAACGCTTCAGGCAAATTGTCAAATCAAAACAGAAAAATACTTACACTAAATTAGAAGAAAATTTGTTTCCTTCCAAGCTATATAACGCTTTCTTCCGTAATATATCGGTCTGTACAAAGTTTCCTATAAAATCTGCCGAAGTTACATTCAAATTTGAGTATTTTTCTTCCATATAAGTCTTATTGTTGTAATTATCGTCAGCTTTAGCGAAAGCCACATTCAAATTTTGCACTTTCAATAAAACAGCTGTCTTTGTTGTATCATCTAGCCAGTCTACACTGTTTAAAGTTCTCGAAAAATTATGCTTCAATTCGAGAAACACTTTTGCAAAGAACTTTTCTGTTACTTCCTTCGATTTCGGAAACCAAGTTTTAGAATACAACAAAGAACTCACATCTGGGAATAAGTAAGAAGATAGTTTCAAACAATACTCTTCGCGATCGTTTCCAGTTTGAGTAACAACCAAATTTTCAAATAATTCGCGTGCATAAATTGCTATTAAGGCATTTTTTAACTTCCTGAAAGAAAAAGGAATAACAACTGGTTATTAACATTTTAATCGTCTTTTTATGTGGAAATGAAAAACTATATTAGAACATAGTGGAAAAACAATGCCTTCCGCTAAGGATTAACGAATATTTATGTTGAAAACTTGAAGTTTTCAAAAATTAATTCACTAATGCATTGAATTAACACGTTAAATTTAATGTACCTCAGTGTGTTTATTTTTATTTATAATTTACAAACACAATTAAATAATTTACTTGCCTTTTAGGTGTGCTGCGAAGTTCTTGAAATAAATTTTTAAAATATTCTATACAGTAGACGTGTACGGAAAGATTATCGTCGATATTCCTTCCACTCAGTAATTCGAAAAATTTCTTCCATTGGAGCAGGGGATAATTTTTTTGTAGATCAGATATTTTAAGCACCTTGTATTTTTTATATACAAGACTTTTTTTGACATTTAACGAATCGAACTAGAAAAAAATAAAAAAATATGCAGCATAGACGGTATCTTTATAATTAAGCGCTAGAGTTATAAAACATAGAACAGGGCAGGGTCGGGTCGTTTTTAACAAAACGAAATCACCAATTTAAAAATTGATAAACGATTACTGAAAGTAAAACTAGCCGGTATCACACGGGGAGTGAATTTGCCACTTTACTAATTGCTGTTTTTTAAGGGTCGATAAAGGGCACTGTCACAATCTTACTGTTGGTCTTGGTCTTACTTATTCGGTCTTAGTCTTAATCAAATACTTCTGGTCTTGGTCTTGACCGTACTGATGTATTCTGGGCCTTGGTCTTAGTCTTGCGTGTTAAGTCTTGGTCTTACGTTTTTTTAAATAATTATTCTAAGCAGAAATATTTTTTTTTAATCATCATAGGGTCGTTAGTACTAAGACTAGTTGGACACGCACTCCTTCCTATCCTGCGCTAATCCTCGCATTTCCCTAAAGCTAGAACAACCCACATCCTTAACTATTTGCGAACAGTAATCTAATCTTGATCTACCTCTACCCTTCCTAACTTCCGTTTCTGCCTCTAGTATGTCTCTGACTAGACCTTCAGGTCTGAGAAGGTGTCCTACCAACCTATCTCGTCTATCTCTTATTGACTCTGTTCTCCTATTGTTTCTAATGCTTTTTCGTTTCTAACCTTCTCTATCCACGGTATCCTCATCATTCGCCTGTAACACCACATTTCGAACGCTTCTAACCTTTTCTTTTCCGCCGCGCCCACAGTCCGTATTTCGCACCCATACAGAGCCGCGCTCCAAACGTACATCTTTAGCACCCTATTCCGAATTTCGGTAGTAGTTGTAGTCTTGGTCATTCGGTCTTGGTTTTAGTCTTGGTCTTGTTCATTCGGCCTTGGTCTTGATTTTGCTAGTATAAAGACAATCTTAGACTTGGTCTTGTGTTATCGAACGTTACGATAACATTTTGACAACAATAGGGTTCCGTCTAACCTTTCGAGCACCTTTACTATTAATAAAATAACTATATTCCCTTTTTTTATTTTGACATCACACTATCTTAAAGAAACACGTACCGTTATAAGATCCAGTATGTTCCACTCAATCGTGAATCTCAATTCCTGTATCCTTTGCGTCTGATTGTACGCATGCAGTTGAGAGAAAACTCCGAGAGCTCTAACGACATTTTCTATTGAATTAAAATATATTGAATAGTTCCTGAGACAGTTCAAATACACATCGTGAATCTTTCCCAAGTCCAAGTTCCGGCCGTGCAACTGGCCTCGGATCACGTTCAAACATCGCCTTTGACCGTCTGATCCTGCTGACCAACGTCCTGTTCCACTGAATGCGAAACTTTTGCCGGGCAAAGTCAACTGAAATGTTATTTATTGTTTTCAATCTTATTATTATTATTATTGTTGGTTTGCCATCCATATACCTTTAATACATTATATAAACATTTCATTTATAAATTACTTATTAATTTCTATTTTATATGAAGGATGGTTTTAAAACTTGGGTCTCGTATTAAATAAAAATTTAATCGATTTATTACCAGTTTTCACCGGAAATGGACGGTCAGGGAAAAAAGCTATTGAGTGTTTTATTCCTATCAGCTCCTACTGGTGGAAGGAGGGCAGTCCCTTTGGACTACGCCCCCCTTGAGTAAGCTGAACAACTAAATTAAACAAAACACTGCAAATCCGAAATCATAAACAACTAAGGGACAATGGTCTTTTGGATTTTAACTTTAAATAATCAGACCATCTTTTAGCCTTACGATGCGAAGGCTTTTTCAGGGTAGATTATAGCATTCTCTTAAGGCGAAACATACCCCTTAACATTTATAAAAAATCAAGGGAAAATATGAAAACGAATAAAATAAAAGCTCTTTAATCAAAAGGACTCATTCAAGCAATTTAAGGGTAAGAAATGTTTAATTTATCTAAATTGTAGAGAACTTTAACAAAATAAAGCGAAACATCGGTTTGATTATATACTACATAAAGCATCTTCATCCCTTAAATCACTTGAATTGCCCTGTTGATAAATAAAGTTGCAGAAGATATATATTCATAGTACATAAATCCATTGAAATTCACCCAAGCTTCAACTTTATTTTTTATCTATATAATCTACCCTGAAGAAGCTTTAACAAAATAAAGCGAAACATCGGTGTGTTTATATACTACATAAAGCATCTTCATCCCTTAAATCACTTGAATTGCCCTGTTGATAAATAAAGTGTAAAATGCAATTATCTCATTCAGTACTAATTTATTCTCCCTGAAGCTATTCATTATAGTAAAATGGTCCAATACAGAATCAACATCTGCTACAAGATGTAATCAAACTTCAGAAAAACAAAAGGAAGTCGTCCTTTTCTTCTAAAGTAATTGTTCGTAAACAACAATAGTTTTAATTGTTAATCGCGAATTTCCAACCCTAAACCCCGAGCCCTAAATATGTCCCCTGCGATAGAGAGCGAAACATCGACAGTAGACATTTTTAACGTGATGCAAATCCAGAATCCTAATGAGCTTTACCGCAAACAATAACCGCAAAAGCCTGCATAACTACTAACTAACAATATTATAAATAATTGAAATAATTAGTAAGACATAGAAAATACTANTGGGATTAGGCCTGTTGATAAATATTACAGGAAGAAATACGAAGGTGTAAAAACTGTTTAATCCATAATTTCACTAATACGATTGTGATTATAAAACACGTATGGACCTACCTATTTGTAAAGAGCATTAAATTCTGTTAACTACTGGTGGTAGTAAATATCACTAGGTTGCACCTATTTGTAAAATTTTGAGTAACAGTATTTCAATAGTTCTTCATCACTAATTTATAGAAACTACCAGGCGTGTATAACAATTTCGATCTTATTAGATCTCATCAGCACCCAATAGACAGTCTTGATAAATCACCGATTATTTTTAAAAAGTTACAAAATTTGTCCAGGTACCTAACAGAGCTTATAAGTTGTCAGCTTAATTTTGTGAATAAGAAATTGTATGCCGTATTTCTTGATATAAAACTAATACAAAACAAATTTGGTATGTTTTTATTCTGTCTTTGTTTTGCTAGAACGTCTAAAGCCTAATATATAAATATATACATATATATCCAGTGTCTGTTGCTACTTTGTGATTTAGATAAGGTCGAAAGGGAAGTCAAACATACCAAACACATATCCACTATATCTAAGACTTTCTTTAGATAAAGTGACCGAAGAAATTTATAGTGACAAGTAGAAGAAACATTTCTAGATTTATTGGTTTCCTTTAGCGAATGGTCGCAACCTATTTACTAAACATCAAAGAGCCAACACCAAAAAAGTTATTTATTCCTAAAATTGAATTTTTTGAAATTATTGAAAACAGTTGCAACGTGGTCTCATTATGCGGTCCAATAAATAAAATTAATTGGTAATTACCAATAATGACTGCAATTACTATCAATTGTCATGTATAGCACTTTTTTATCCAGTCATTTCATTTGCATGGGGAAGCGTCAGTTTAGTCAGTGATTTGTCGGAATTACTTCAGGTATACTGACGAAAATCGGTACGTTAAAAAACGCGATTCACATCTTGTGGTTTCGAGAAATCGATACCAATAACTTGATGTTTTTTATTTAATTTCTTTATTAAGTACACAATCATGTATGGCCGATAAAGAAAATGGTGATGTATTATTACCCTAGACAAAAATTTTCAATCTCTCTCCAGTCTCTCAGAGTCTTTCAGCGACTCTAACAGTCTTTCACAGTCTCTCAGTTATTGTCTAGGTGTTTTTATAGATCTCCCACAGTCTCTGTATGAGAAACTCAAACGATAAAATTGTTAATTCAGAGATTCAAGTCTCCCACAGAGAGACTGAATGAATAAAACTGAAAAATTGAGAGACTCGAGTCTCTAGTAGAAAGACTGGGATCTCTGAAATATGTTGAACTTAAAAATTTTTAACCATGTCTATCGAAACGCTACTTATTGAGAGATTCGAGTCTCTTGTTCAGACTGGATACGAAATGAGAATCTCTCTATGAGATAGATCAAAATAATATACTACAGTATTGTACACCTTAAAAATGTCTACAAAAAAGTCCGCGATGGTATATGTCTATCTGTTAGGGATAACCCACAATAACCATTTTTTATTCTTTACTTTTTACGAGAAATAATGGCTTATTTACGAAGCGATTTTAAGGAATACAGCATTAATCCTTATCCAATTAAGTACTTTTAAATACATTGTGCATTCAATATAGATCAATATGCCCCTTTACATGTGCAGCATGTAATTTAAATGAATATTTTCGGAGATATTACAGGCTTAAAATGCAGGGACATGGCGGTTGCGACGGTACCGGCCGGTTTGTATTGTCTAATGACAAAAAGGCTGTGATTGTTGTATATAAAGACATTCTATCGTATATTTAGTATCAGCATTGCACCCGTGCGAAGCATAGTGTACAAATAATACCATTAAACCAATTCCTTAACCCCTATCCCGGTATGTTTGTGTGTTTGAAAAAGTTTCATTTCAGTAGCGTGTTGTATAATTACACGTTGTATTTTTTTTTATTGTTGTTGATGATAAGACATGTGCCGTTCAAAGTACATTTAGAAACTGTACCTGAAAAACGAAAGTTGAATTTTGTTTTTCCTCCTCAATGTAAACATCCATAAAGGGCAGTGAAGATCTCAAGACCAATTTGGCAAATAATTCTGTTATATCCACAGCTGAGTCAGCTTCTGGTATCACAAAAATTTCACCTACTTCGTTTACGAGCTCCTTAACTAAAAATAAGCGTATAACATATTTCACAACAATTTTGAGGGCCATTACAAAGACAATACTTAATATAGTATAAAAAGATCAAAAAGATCCTTTAGCAAAAAAAATATATTAATTAGCTCATAGTTATCCTTAAAAAGGAAATTATTTCACTCGATCAAAGTCGGTGGTAGGTATTTTTTTATGGCATGGTTGAAGAGGTATTAGAAAGAATAGGAGAATGGAGGACTCTATAGAAGTTAATAAGAAATAGACGAGATAGGTTAGAAGGACACCTTCTCAGGGATGAAGGTCTAGTCAATGACATATTAGAGGCAGAAACAGGAGTTAGGAGGGGTAGAGGTAGACCTAGATTAGATTAGTGTTCGCAAATAGTTAAGGATGTGGGCTGTTCTAGTTTTAGGGAATTGCGAAGTTTAGCTCAGGATAGGAAAGAGTGGAGGTACGTATCCAACCAGTCTTAGGACTCACGACCTTATGATGATGAATCCATATTTACTTAACATTTAGTTACTTAATAAAGAATGTAAAAGATGACCTACATACTTACTTCTTTTTAATCGATTTTCATATTCGAAAATATATTCATGTTCTACGCAACTTTTATAAAAAGCGGCATATTTTTGTAAATACAGTAGTGACGAGGTTTCATCAATTTTATCCAGTTCCTCTGCTATTGCGGTCCAAACATTTGAATCAGCAGAATTCTCTCGCAAACCACCGCAAGCAAACTGGTAGAAATCTTCACACGCATCTGCGGAATGGTCCATGAGGCTTAACATGCGGGACGCCGTTGATTTACATCCAGTTGTAAAACATACGGGCTCTGCTTTTGTAACAAGCGCCGTTGTCATCGCTGGATTGACTACTGGGATACAAGGCGTCGTTGTTGGCGGCGTCGTTGTTGGTGGTAGTGACGCCGCTGTTGACTTTTGGGGGGCATCTTTGGTTGTATGCGTTTCATTTTCGTATTCAGTTGTTAATGCTGATACTTTTTTCGTAGTTGACAAAAGCTGTTGATTTTCAAAAGAACTTTGGTTAAAAATAATTCTATCGTCAACTGTTGATATTCTGAGTAGCATGGTATTATTAATTTCAGAACTTCCACTATTTGTTCGAATTGTATCTAACTTAGTAAACAATTCCGTGTTTCTAACTGGTAAAGATGTAGATGTTTGAAGTTCACTTGTGTTTTGAACCTCATTTGTTCCTAGTGAAGATTTTGTTGTTTGAACTTCATTTATACTCTGAACATCGTTTGTCATTAGTGAAGATATTGTTGTTTGAGCTTCACTTACAATCTCGTTTATTGCTAGTGAAGATTTTATTGTTCGAAATTCTCTCTCAGTCCCATATGTAACTCGTGAATAGTCTTCTGTTTCAGATTCATGATCTGTTTCATCTGGTGAGGATGTTGTTTGAACTTCTCCGCTGGTCTCTGCATCTGTAGTTATCGTGTCATCAATTGCTAAAGTATTTCCCAAACTTTCGGTAGTTTCAAAAACCGTTTCCCCTTCTGTTTCGTATTTGTACGACGTCTCTTCTATCAAAACACTTGATGTTCTTGTTTCGTTGTAGTCATTGCTAATGTTATCATCCTTGAATGTGTAATTTTCGAACAAGGTCGTATTTTCTGTTTCAGGAGGTATTTGTTTAGGGGTAGAGGTGCTTGTTTCTTTGAAGTACGATGTTGTAGCTGCAAATGGTGTGTTACTTTGAAATGTATCTTTCCTTGAAGTTCGTGCTAATAATGTGGTAGTCGTTCTCGTAATGATTTCATGATTTGTTGGTGCAATTTCTTCATATACATATTTTTGATCTGAAGAAGTAGCACTCCTATCCAACTAGAAAACAGAAGTAATAGAACTAATTAATGCCACTACAACGATAAAAAAATACACTCGTGAAATATACTAAACAGATTGTTAGTAGCAATTAATAAACAAAGGTTTGGAAAACACTTACACCGGATATACAAAAGCCGCATTTTATGATTTAGTTCGACTTTATCGGTATAGAGCTTATAGAATATGTATTAATATTATTAAATAGCACATATGACTTTGAATGGTTTTTAATACAAAGATTATTTACTTCAACAGCAAATTAAATGCTTTTGATTTGAACACAGAAATATGTATATGAGATATACATATATACGAGGAAATGCACCCTTATTAAAGTTTTAGTTTTTCATTACCTATTACTCAAAAGATTAATATGGAATAACTAAAAAGCAAAAAAATTTTTCATAACATCAAAAAAAAATAAAGGCTCCTGCAGTAATTTAATTGAGTCGTGACTAATGTCATCATCACTGAAGAAGCCGGCAGCAAGAGATAACGGAAAACGAAACGTCTGAATAATTAAAATTCCACCGCAGAAAACACCAAGAAAAGATTTAGACCTCTAGTAGGTACTTAACCTTTAATCATTAATTTGGAACAGTCGTGATTTCAGTGGCGGATTTACCCTTTGACCCAGCTTTAGGCAGCGCAGCGGCAAAATTTTATGGGCGTGAAAACTTTCTGGGCACGCGAGAAATATTTCACTTTTCTGACTACTCCTTTTCGCATATTTAAAAACCTGTCTATTATCGAGCATTTTTCGTCATATGTTAAAACCTATTTATTCAGTAATAAAATATATACCAAAGGTGTAAAAGGGTGCTGCGCTAGTCGTACACCGCCTCAGGTATACATTTTATGACAGCACCTATATTGATTGATGATTAAGTTAAGCATCGAGGTATATGCTAGTTTCAGTTTTATTTTCAATTTTTTTAATGGTTTTAATGCGTAAACATGTAAATTTTTACTAATTCTTAATCAAGCATTAATGTGAAAATTCATTTTCCACTTATACCAACTATAAATTATCTCAAGATAATGAAGAAAAATTTGTTGGTGTTGTCATACCCTCGTAGAGAAGGGAATAACAACAGGCGAGAATATGACAACAGCAACAAATTTTCCTCATTAACCTGAGGTAATTTATAGTTGGTATAAGTGGAAAATGAATTTTCACATTTATATTTGATATATTAACCGCTATTAAATATCAAAGTGTTTTATATATATAGTACTAATTCTTAATGATTAAAAAAATAATTTATAATTTTAAATAAAAAAAAGACTAATTAAGTTCAACAACCATCATGTTCATTTGCAGTATTTTGTATAACTTTTCCAAATTCACGTAATTTATGAAATAAAACAGTAACTTGACAATAACTTTGACTAGTTTCCTCTAGTACGACATTTTCAAAAATACATGTATTATACCAAAACTAACGTAGTTAGAAATTTTATACAACAGTCAGCAATTTAGAAAGAATATTAATCTCAAGGTAATTACATATTGTAACTAGATGATTTATAATAATAATTACTACTATAAAGCAAAAAAACGCCAGACAGAGTCTACAAGGTCTTTGAGAGAAGCAAAAAAAACGAAATTTCCTTTTTTTCCCCTTTTCAGTAAAAATTAAGAATAATTTATTAATCTGATACTATTATAAATTAAAATAATAATGTTCTTTAAATATGATTATGAATAACAAAAAACATTTTCGTGTCTTAAATAGATTATATTATTCATTTTAGATTTACATTTATCGTTTAAAAACACAAGTTTTCAATACAAATCATTTTAATTTTAATACGTAAAAGAAATAAAATTGGATTTACTTTACCTTAGGATCGTGAATTTTTTCAATAACTATCCTGTATGTCCAAATCATACCGGCAATCACAGTTATTAAACAAATGCATAAAAGCAATAATAAAGCACAAAGACATGATCTGTAAGAAGTATCATGCTCACATTCGGGGACATTTTCACGAAACGTGTACGAACCTCTGGTCATTTTGTCCAGATTCTACTTGCATTAGTCTAAATATTCGAGACTACAACAATCAATCGCACGAGCGGAAGTTCCTAAACGAATTGTTATCGGTAATTAGTAAAATAAGTTTTGGAAAACACTTAACCCACCCCGGATATACGGAAACCGCATTTTATCGTTTAAACAACCTATCGATTAATGTTTTTGCTTTTTAAACGTTCCCAACGGCAATTGTTTTATAAAAACGATACCCTTCTATCCGATCAATTTTATTAAATGTATTACATTTTACTCGTGGCTTTGCTCGCATTGATGTCCTAAATACGTGTCAAAGATAATCGACGACCACATTAAACTAATTTTTCTTTCCCTCGGGATCAACATTTTTTCTTCTGGATATGTTCTTTTTTTACAATGCTTCTAAAAAATTTCATGATAATCGATCGAGTAGTTAAGGCGTGAAATCGACCACATAAAACTAATTTTTCTATCCATCGGGAACAGTATTTTTTCAGGATAAAAGGTACACTATGTCCTTTTCTGTACCCCTGACAATGTGTCTACAAAATTTCGTAATGATCGATTCAGTAGTTAAGACGTGAAATCGATCACATAAAACAAATTTTTTTATCCTTCAAAAACAGTATTTTTTTATGAAAGGTTGACTCTTTCTTGTTGTATTTAGTCAAAAAAGGAATGTTAATCGTATTTAGATTCTTAACAAAACAATGATTAAAGTAGCAAATGTGAACAACAGGCCCTAGTGGGTTTAAAGTTTGAGATAATCTATAAAATAAAGCAGCACATTTAGAAAAAATTACCACTACTTAAATGAAAGTTTATAAGTTAATAATTTTCTATATTCATTAAAATCAGTAGCTGTAACATACACTACCACTACGGTTAATGGTTCATGTCTTCGTTCTGATGGGCTTATCCATTAAATACCACCCTCAGCAACGTCCCAAAGACCTATTAAAAAAGTAAATTAAACACTAAACTAACGAAATTATAATTCTTGGTTGACGGATTTTCAACGAGAAAGTTAAGTTGAAACCATTAAAACGAGCCTTTAATGTTGATAAATACTTAAAATCTACAAGATATTAAAGTCATACTAATAACTTATCGTTAATTAAGCCGGGTCATTATCCGGTACACCGCCGGATCCTAAAAAAAGGTGCGTGACCCACCGGGTACCGGATTCAAACCAGGTAGTCGGCCCATTCCCAATTTAAACGTTCATGTCAGATCGTGTTCCTTAACTCATTCTGACGTAATATTTCGGCTTTGATTGGGATTTTATCAAGAAGGACATCTCGAAAGTTGGAGCCTCCAAGCGCCGGAGGTCTGGAGCGGACTCCCCCCCCCCCCCATGTACCGCTACTGTATCTACTGTTAAGAATGACCCAATGACGTGATTCTTTTCGAACAGAATTATAGGAATTTGCGTAGAAATTTACATTAATAGAAGTAAATGATGTTAGACAGACTGACCACGGACCCTCTCCACTATCGCCACTAATGGTTGGACCCCAGGTCAAGAAACCCCGAATTAGAATATAATATAACACTTCAACTTTTTCTATTTTCAAATTTATCCAAGAATTTGGCGAATATTAGGTGTGGAATATTTATATACCATACAACGGTGAATCGGACGTGCTTGATGATACGGTAGACTCGCGATGGTATGAACATCTCATAACGGAAACCCCGCAAAATCTCATCAGCATATTCATTATGCTACGCCGCCGTGTACCGTGAACAAACTAAACCTTCACTTATAACAACGAATGTCCATTGCCCTTAATTATCGACATTTTGCCATTGCTGTTGCGCCATTACTGTAAATCCCAGATATATGCATTTGATATTTCATACTTCCCTTAATCGTATAAGCTGGAGGGATAATATTTTATCATACATTCATATTAGTTCGTTGTTACTACATATACGAAATAAATATTTTTTCTAAATACCTATCAATGCATGGTGTCTGTCTTACTGAAGATAAGAAATCACTTGTTATTCAAGAATTAAACAACGGAGTTGCAATATCTATTACATAGTGAATAGAAAAATACATATTTAGTCAAAAAGAGGGGTTGTTTCACAAATAAGTGAAAATAATAAAAAATTTACTGCCAGTGCCACATGTGAAAAAATTGATAATTTGAACATTTTGGTTGACTGGATCATTTTCTAATCTCAACTTCGTTAGCTTCATCACTTTTCCCTCTTACTTAGTTATAATAATACATTATTGACTTAATAATATTTTAATGTAGTATGTGCCTTTGTTAAGGTTCCGTATCTGGAACTACGGAACCCTATTTTAGGGTCAACGTACGTTCGTCTATCAAGAGTTCTAACTTCTTGACGGAACGAGATATCGACTTGAAATTTTCATACAATACGGAAATCCTTGCCCCAGAGACGAAACATATGCTTAAATTTATAAAAAAAAAATTATTTGAAAGGACATCATTTCAATTGAGCGCTTAATTGTTCTTAGTCCTGCAGGTATCATTGGAATGAGATTTGCAAACAGAAAACAATTGTAGATACTTTTTTATTTTTCATTTTTTGACTTAAATTAACACGTTGGAAAGAGCATCAAAATCATGGCACTACAAATTTTGTTACGTGGTCTACCACAAAATCAGCTTGAAATATGCATATCTTGAAAAATTCAAGAAGTTTCAATTTTTATACAGTGTTCTCATGCACTGCAGGATGTACTTAAACAGCAAATGTTAAACATAGTTTTTTTTTTTACAATAGAAAAAAGTTATAATTAATTTGATAAGCAGTGGAATCTTTAGGGGGTGTTTTCTATTGTTAAAAAGCATTAAAATTATCGTATTTTTGGCGCGTCTAATTTTGAGTTAAGTCAATTAACGTTTAATCGCGTCGTAATCATTTCAGAGAAGAGAGACTTGAACAGAAGTTTATTTCTAAACTGGGCTAAAAATGGTAGATCATGTGAGGGGAAGGATCAAAAAGTTTCCAAAATGGAATCTTAGTTTGGTGGGTTATAGGATTACTTCGCTTTAATTACATGATAGTATTTTGATTTTGTCTTGGCTAGTTGGTTCATTTTTTGATTTTGATTCTAAAACAAATTCTTTCGAGAAAGTTTTCCTAATTTGAATTTTTTTCAGATTTGTTATTGATATTTGAAAATCGACGTATCCGTATTTTCTTAAAAATACTTTCCTTATTTTTTTAACAAATTTATCCTATACTTTTGCCTAAAAGCTCTAAGTTTTATTTATATGATTTTTCATCCATGGATTTCATCTGAACTCTTCATTCGTATCAAACTGGCACCCGATAAAAATAATCCACTGATTCAAACTTTACCAATAAATTGTGTGTTGTTTGCGATAACTAAATATGTAAGTATCATGATTGTGCGTCTATTACTTTTGTTGCAATTAATTGTCGTCAATTAAATTGTCATATCTTCAGTAGTTTTTGAATAAATTGATATTTAATTTCCACCTGTACCCTAAACAATTTTCCTTTTTTTAACAGAACTAATGGACGCAGAATTATGATACTTAGATATTTAGAACCCGTAAACAATGCACAATTTATTGGTAAAGTTTAAATCAGAGGATTTTTTATATCGGGTGCCAGTTTCACAAGACTGAACTCTCCGATTTTCCAAGTGAACTTCATAAATACCTTACTTCAGTTGGTTTATGTCTATGGTTTATATCACGTTCTTCAGTGTGTCTTTAATCTATGAATTATATTCATATCTATGACTTGTATTTTGTAGCATATTGATATTTTGTAGGTTATAAAATGCTTGTCTATTATAATAAGACGGTTATAAATTAGAAAGCTTATAAAAGGTAACCGCCTGTTTCAATTATTGTGGAAATTATTACAAATAGATACTTTGTAAAAATAAAAAAATAGTTTAGTGGGACAAAAAATTTGGAATGACCAGTTAGATGAGAACTACAAACCGTCTTGTATAATTTGGTATCACAACTCTATAGTATCTCGTTACCATGTAGTTAATTTGTGATGATATTCATTATCAGTGATAACGAAATAAGTACAACAAACTAGTTGATAAATTAATGTTTTCAATTTTTAATAGCAGTGTTTTGAAATGTTTCGTCGCAGTACAAGTGAGGTAATCAAATTAGGTTGTTGTAATAAATTACTACACACATCTAGTACAAAATGCAAAAATCGCCGTGAACATCCACTACTTCGAACATTTAAAATATTGCGAAATGACTTACAACTCAATTGGCGAAATAAGGATGAAAAGAAATTGCTTTCCCCTATGAATGTTATTCCACAGTATACAGACATTGCAATAATTGGTGGAGGAGCTGTAGGTTCATCAATCGCATACTGGTTAAAGGAAAAAACTGGTAGAGGATTAGAGGTTGTTGTAGTAGAAAAGGATTTAACAGTTAGTAAATTATTCCATAGGATTATAAGTAACGTCAGTATGAAATAAAATATTTTGCTTTACTTAATAGTATCGTCAAAATTCAACAGTCTTAAGTGTAGGTGGCTTAAGACAACAATTTTCATTGCCTGAGAATATTCAGATGTCTTTATTTGGGGCAGAGTTTTTAAGAACCCTCAAAAACAGATTTGGCCCAGATGCTGATGTTTATTTTCAACCTTATGGCTATCTTATGCTTGCTAGTGAAGGAAATGCACAACAGTTACTTGATAATTCAAAAATGCAAAAGGAATTTGGAGCTATCAATGTTGTTCTTGGTAAAGATGCTTTAAAAGAAAGGTAGAATAATAATTATTTTGTATTTATTACTTTTATTAAAAGTAATTTTTTAGATTTCCATGGTTAAATGTCACAGATGTAGAAGCAGGTTGTTTAGGTCTAGAAAAAGAAGGGTGGTTTGACCCATGGTCATTACTGCAACTGCTTCGCCAAGGTGCAGCTAACAAGGGAGCTTACTATGTGGGTGGAGAAGTAACTGAATTCAGTTTCACAGATCAAAGAGATGTTTTAGTTGACGGAGTAACTCAGGGAACCTATCAGGGAATTGATGAACTAATTGTAAAACCTTTTTTTCTCTTTTTTTATATCACTGTAAATTCTGTTGTGGGTATTTTCAGTTTAAATTACCTTCAGGTGAAGAACGCTCCTTAAAATTTGCAATGTGCGTACTTGCAGCTGGTGCTGAATCTGGTGAAGTAGCCAAACTATGTAATATTGGCACATCTCGAGGAATCTTATCAATTCCACTACCTGTTGAAAAAAGGTAAATATACAAAAGAAACACAATATCAATGTAAAATTCACTTATTGCATTCATCCAAACACAAATTTTAAAATTTTAACACATCAAATTCAGTATAACAATTTTTAAGTTAGCATTTACATGAATTTATACAAAACAAGAAAAACAAACCTCTGAAAAATATACTCTTCAGGGATCAAATCGCCCTTAATTTTAGATATACTTCAATGACGATTGGAAAATAGGGCCTTCTGTAATAACAAAAAATTACAATTTTGATTTTGCTTTCCATTCACATGCGTTAAGCACTTGTTAATTATGACAAATTTAAAAGTACCTTTTGATATCTTAGATGAATATTTAATATTTTAAAATGTGAATTGTATGCAATTTTCCTAGATTTTTTTTTAAGTCAAGCAGTTGATTTTGTTGTGTTCTTTTGTTTGTATTAAAAATTGTATATATTGTGCTTTTAAAATAAGGTACTCATTTTTAGTACTATTAATCGTGTTCGAATATCTTACATAAATTAGGTGCGGAATAGTAGGGGTCAATTATTTTTTAAATATAATTGCAAAAAACTGATGAATTGTGACACTGTTGACATCCTTTTGTTATGATAAACTTTTCTTTTATCTCTACGTATTTTAGGAAGAGATATGTCTATCAATATGATTGTCAAGTAAATCCTCCAATCCTAAATACTCCAATGGTAATAGATTATAGTGGGGCATATTTTAGAAGAGAAGGATTAGGAGGGCGATTTATAGGTGGTTTATCACCTCTTCCAGAAGAAGAACCAAATACAAACAATTTAGATGTTGATTATAACTTTTTTGATGAAAAAGTGTGGCCACTTTTAGCTAATAGAGTACCTGCTTTCAACTCTATAAAGGTAAGTTGAATATGTATTGTGTGAACAAAGAGACCCATAAAATGAAACTTAGTTCTTCTTTTATCCATGTTTCTGTCGACTTTACTTTAAGTTACTTTATACTTATCTATATAAAATTTTGGACAGTAATAAAAATTTTATTCTCATGCTATTAATTCGACGCTCATACATAAAAAAATACTTTTTGCTGATTTTTATAGAAGGCAAAAGTAAGGCGTTTATTTTTTTCTGGTTTTACAATTAGTAAGCCATCGTTCAAAAACGCTCATTTTACATATTACTTTATTTTTTGTATAAAACCACTTAAGCATTCGATATGAGAAATTTCTTCAAATAGCTCCCATTTTCTTTTTCTTATGTTTTTCTAGGTGAAAAGTGCCTGGAGCGGTTTTTATGATTACAATACCTTTGATGAAAATGGTATCATTGGACCCCATCCCTTGTTCCACAATTTATTTATAGCAACAGGATTTAGTGGACATGGTAATAATTGCACTTTTTTAATAAATTGCACATTTAGTCTAACATTGAAGGAAAACATACATAAAAATTATCTTTAAATAAAAACGGCTAAAATGATAATTTTAAGCGAAAATTTAATAAGGTTTAGCTTTGGTGTACAACTTTAGATTAAACGTCATCAAAGGTCAAAATAGTATGTGTACTGAATCAGCAAAAAACATTCTTGAATGTTTAAAAGAAATCACGTATACAAAAAGTTCATTTCTCAAACGTTTTAACCACACGTGGCAATAAGATATGATAAATCATGGAATAAAAAATATCACAGAATATGTAATAAAAAAAATAATAATTGCTTATAAGCATAATCTAAAATTGTTTACAACAAAGTACTGAATCAAAAGTCATTACATTTTGAATTATACTCTTTTTAACAATTTCTATTTTTACAAGGGATTCAACAAGCACCGGCGGTAGGCAGGGCCGTTGCAGAATTAATTTTGGACGGAGACTTTCGGACCATAGATCTTACAAGATTAGGATTTGATAGACTAATTGTTGATAAACCCATGTATGAAGTGTGCATAATTTAGTGAAATTTGTCCTACAGTGAGTAATTGTTTTGGGTATTTTTTTAGTATAAATAGATAGTTTATTGCTCTCTGTTAAATAATTAACATCAACAAATAAATTTTATTTAAACTGACCAGCAGATGGAGAAAAGAAACCATTTCCTTGCTTTGATGCTGCACGTGATGGTGCAAAGCCCAAAAGTTTTTGAATATTTTGTCTAATAGACATTGTACATAAAATATATAAAAATATAAAGGAGCAATCTGTATAATCATCTCCAGGGAGATTTCGATGACTCAATCCCTGAATCCATGCCAGAGGAATAAATGGCAACTTTGCAACCACTCTTCCATCAAAACTGAAATTTATTTTTAAATTAAAAGACGAAAAAGTAATTATCAAAACAATTTTATCAACTAATTCCAAATATAAACAGGACATAATAACACTAAAACCCAAAATTTCACGCTTTAAAAATGTAGATGGTGAGGCAGCCTAAAATTGAACATAATATCTGTTCAAATATATTTTAGATTATTTTAAAAATCTATGTGGAATTTTAGATTTTAGTGTTTTATTTAATTCAGTTTTACAGAACACTATTATACTTTCTTGTATAAGTGCAGCAAGACCAGCAATTAATAAAGTTTAAAATTAAATACTTACATATTATTGAACATGCTCAGTAGTGCAGTAAATGCAAAACCAATAGCAAACATTGATTTCATTTTCACAAGTACTAAATCCCTATTGTTATTTTTCAATCTTTCTTCTTCTCTTTCGATTTTCTTCTTATGTTGTTTGTCTAATGAGTCCCCATGAGCTTCTTTCCTTTTTTCCACTAGATCAATTTTAAACTATAAACCTTAAAATTATAGTAAGATTTAAATACTAATACTTACGTCTTTTACTTTGCTTTTCAACTTCTGATTTCAACTTTTGGTATTTTTCAGTACGATATACCATCAGCCAAGTTAAGCCTTCTCCCAAAAGAGCAGTACAAACAGAGATAAAAACAATTAAAAGTGTGTCTGCCCACATGTCTAATTAGCTAACAGTTTGTAAGTCTTTAGTTAATTTTTAAATTATTTAATACTGTGCAGTACTTTAAGAGCCAATAATACATTCTTCGCCGATTGGGAGACGTAGACAAGAGAGGTTAGGGCATGATTTAGTCTATGGACATACGATACTAATCATAGATTAAAGATAGTAATCATAGAATATGCTATACACTAGTTAAACAAAAAGTTTTAACCAATTTTTACAATTTTATACAGAGTACCCATTGAAAGTTTTGACTGATATAATTATTAAAATTGCCACAAAGAAAATTTTGCAACTTTACATTCATCCTCGCACCGTACAAATTTAAGGCAAAAAATTATTTGGCAAATGATTTTCTATGAAAAAAAAAGATCAAATTGCAATTTTAAAACGTATTCTTGTAAGATTTGAATGTTAACTAAAAAAATCTACATTTTTGATTTGAAATACTTTCTATCATATTTTTTAAATAAGCTCTTATTAAGAGAGTTAGAAATATGTAGAAGTTGTAATTTTAACTGTTATTTTTAATTTTTGTCCAAAAAGCTATTACAGTGAATTCGTGGAAATAATGTACTATAGACTAATAAAAATCACAAGATCAAGAGGTAATACTGTAAATTTAGTCAAAACATCATATATTTTTTTTAACAAAAAANTAAATCCGTCAGCTAACTTAGTAGTTATTTACATGATATGTTATAAATATTTTCAGTCTATCACAGCAGAACTTAAGTATTGCAATAACAATATAGTTTCATATGAAAATCTGAAACACAATCACTTTGACTTCCGTAAAGATTCAATCTACTAACTGTGCCTGTTATTTTTAGGGTATAAGGTAGTTCTTTATTCTCTAGCCCGTTTTCTTTGAAAAAAGTTTGTCTCACGGTAGCTTCAAAGATGGCGTCACCCGGTACTGTTACAAAACTAACAGTAAAATCCTTTTTTGCCCCTTCTCCTAAACTGCTAATATTTCCGCTAAAGCTAACTTTTGCGCTGATTATTTTTTTAAGCGTTAAATTTTGGCATTGTTTAAAATCACTAATTTTGGCGTTTAAATATGCGACAGCGAATTCAGTAGCTTCTACCGCCATTGTTGAATTAACTTCTATCTCGACATTTTCTTGACACGCACACCAATGTGAAGGAATATTCGCTGAATCACAGGTTCTGTTTTCAGGAATATTATCAAAAAGACTATAACTTCTTGATTCCGAACTTATTTGGTTCCTTTTCTTTAAAAAGTTTGACGTTAGTTTGTATGGATCCAATAAATCACGCAAAGTATAATGTAGATCATAAGGAGTTGTTAATCTTTTTGAATTTCTCTGTAAATTTTCGTATACCATTGGGAATTCTTTCTTATACCATTTCGGTAATGTAATAAATAAAAATGGTAATCTTTCCTCCAACATTCCTTGATTAGTTGACCTTATTCCACTCCATCGAATCCCATGATCACTTAAAAATATCAAAACGGTCTGATTTAGAGTATCAGTCTTATGCAAATAGTTGAACAGTTTCGCAAAATCGTTATCTCCAAAACGGGGATAATTGAGAAAATCGTGACTCAAACCAGCGCTCCAGAAAAAATTAAAGAAAGCTTTTTTATAAATCCTCATTGAGTCCACAAAATTTTTAATATAATCTAAGAGAATTTTATATTCCAGCCTAGCGCCTAAACACAAATTGTTGTTCATCAAAATTTGATTTCCAATTTGCTTATCGGCCGTAAAACTAAATGTGCGCCAGTAGTAATCAGTTGGTTGCTTACAGAAACCGTTCTTCTGATAATTAAAAATTCCCATCCACGATGCATCTTCTGCATAAGAAGTGACAAACTTTTTCTGTTTGTATTTTTTCCAAATAAAAGGACAATTATCAAAATGATCTGTGTTATTGGACCAACAAACTTGACTCAGTTCGTCTTCCGATAGACCGGTTAAAATTGCTATCAAATTAGGAAATGTGTTATCACCGATCTTATTATATCCAAGAAATTCAACTGCCTTAAGTTCATTTTTGAGTATATCCATAGTTTTTCGCATTTGTCTATGTAGATTCACTCTTGATACTCCATCTAAACCGGCTATTAGTATGCTTAGCGGCTTCCGCATTGAATTTTGAATTTCATTGTTAATCTCAAATTTTGGAGGTACGAAACAAAAAAAGTCTTTGTAAATTTCAGACCCGTTATAAAAGCACTTTACTTTTACAAATTCATCTTTAATTAGTATGCTGTATTTGAACTTTACGCAGGTTCTATTAATTAATATATCATTATCTTCTTCATCTTTTTTCGGGTCGTATCTTTTAAAAACAAAGTAGCAGCATACAAAAACGTCTAAGTATTTTATTTTATATGCCTTAAACGAAGATTTTATAACGGACAAAGAAGTCAAATTTGCTTCAACCAAGGGTGGCAAAGTTACATTACATTTTATTGGGTTCTCCTTATAGATGTATTCTCTAACAGTTGGATCGAAAGGGTCCATATCTGGGATTCTACAACCGGTTGTTTTTATGAGGTAGCCCCGCAAATTTTCCCGAATTGGGATTTTGTGGTCGGTACTTTTTAATGGATATATTAAAGTCATTTTGACATCCATTTCTCTGTAAGGAAGGCGGTAGTCGATGAAAAGTAAAACTGATCCGCAGAAAAATATCAGAATCCACAACAGAATTGCTGGTCGTAATTTCCAACATGACTCGCTTACATTCATTGGTCGGTATTTAAACCTGATAAAGAAACATATAAACGTTTTCAATTAAATAATGATAATAAAAATATCACACATTTATATTTATTTGTTTGACGTATTTCATTTATTTTAATTAATAATTTAGGCACATTAAAGCTTTCAGTTATAAACGTACATTTTTTATTAAAAATGTAACATAACATGATATAAATAATCCACTGCGATGTTTCAAATTGTTAAGATTCACACAATTTTACTTTGATGTGTATATTTTTTAAACCCATTTGTGTATATAAAATCACAAAATAATCTAAACATTATTAACTCGATAATTTGAAATTTTGTTTTGATTACAAAATCGAAGTTTTGAATGGAAACTAGTGTGTGTATTTTTCATTCATTAATTTAAACATAATTTACAAAAAAGTGAAAACACGTTTTTAAAATTTGTTGTAGGCAAGTGTCTAAGTCATACTTATATTGTAAAAAGTATTTTAATGTAAAAACCAATTAAACGTAAAAGTACCTAATACTGATATGTTATTGAAGAAGTAAATAGCAAACCTTTTTCAAATCCGTTCCTTCATGAAGCTTTAATTTTTAATATTGTTAATTCAATATTTGTATTAATTTAAGATACATTTTTCATATAATTTCCTGCCGGTGTTGTGCAACGATTAATATTACCAGTCACATCATATTGTCTGATTCGCACCTTAACGTCACCGTCGCGATGCGTCGGTCGATTTGACGCTGGGCGTCTTTAGCGCATGACTACATATCGTGGTTTTTGAAGCAAAAAGTTATATGGTGACTGTATAGTTAAAATCCAAATACTGACACCACAAGAGCTTATAATTGTTAATAAAAACAACCTTTTATTAACAATTTTGAAAATATCCATTTTGCATTTTGTATTTCCAAATGTTTTTTTACAATAATTTTACATTTAGGAAGTATTTGTATCATTTCATATTTTGGGTCTTCAGTTTTAAACACATGGTACAATAACTAATTTCCTCATCTCCGCTTTTAATCTGTTACTTTTTTTTTAATTCGTGAACCGCAAAATGACATCTTATTCTGAATAATTAATTATATTTCCCTCTTTCTATGACAGCTTCTGTACGTAAATAAACGAATAAATAAGCAAATCAAATAAACTTTACTTACCTTTTTAGACAAATCTTGTACGGCAATAAAAATAATATTAAGTGTTATTTTAGCTAAGGATGCTGATAGTTTATTGATAAAAAAACCCACGTCCACTGCTATCGCAGTTCCGCACTGAATATTAATGACCAATCGTAAATTACAGCAATCCTTTTTTTAGTAAATACAGTGCTTTTAAATTTTATTGCTAATATTAATCAACTAATTGAAAATAAAAATTGTGACTTCTCTTTTAATACACATCAATGCATAATCCCAAAAGTACTGAATACCTCGTTATTACTATTGTACAGTAATTGTCTTATTAAGGAATACAATGTATTTGAATGTTTATTACTTACGCTAAATTGTGAAACAATTATTTCAAAAAATACTAAAATAATTGCCGGTAGTTATTCATTTATTTTTACGGCAAGACTTGCTTTTTACATGGCAAATTTTATAGTTATTACTTATTATTATAGTTCTCTTTGACTTTTAACCAATTACATGCAAGTTCGATTTGTGCTTTATAGAAGTACGGCGATTCTCAATACACGCAGATATAATGTAAATCCGTCAGCTAACTTAGTAGTTATTTACATATTCCAGAACATCTTATCTTATAATACGCTGCACTTCGAACATTCACAGCATTCACAGTGTATGGTATGGCACCTACGAACTACGCAAAAACTACTTCCGCATTGTTAGATAGAAAGCAAATTCAAATTTAGATAGACAGGCATTAATGTTATAAATTTGAATATTTACATGTTTTTTTTTGAAGTGAAACTTCTTTACGCACGCTAGGGTAAGTTCGTTTCATGCGAGTTGCTATGTAACGAAATCATGCAACGGATGTTCCGCTGTACTCGGCCACGTCTTGTTTACAGTGGGGATCGCTTGAGCCATGAGCGCGCTTCAATGCAACGTTCGTTACAGGCAACTCGGGCATGTATAGTGTAAACTTTAAATTCATAGTGTACAAATAATACCATTAAACCAATTCCTTAACCCCTATCCCGGGGTGTTTGAAGAAGTTTCACTTCAGTAGCGTGTTATATAATTACACGTATTTTTTTTTTTGAAGTGAAACTTCTTTACCCACGGTAGAGTAAGTTCGTTTCATGCGAGTTGCTATGTAACGAAATCATGCAACGGATGTTCCCCTCTACTCGGCCACGTAGTAGAGTTCGTAGTGGGGATCGCTTAAGCCGTGAGCGCGCTTCAATGCAACGTTCGTTACAGACAACTCCGGCATGTATAGTGTAAAATTTAAATTTATAGTGTACAAATATCCCGGTATGTTTATGTGTTTGAAGAAGTTTCACCTCAGTAGCTTGTTGTATAATTACACGTTGTATTTTTTTATTAATTCAAAAGTTCTGAAGTTAATTGAACATGTTAATATTTTGGTCAAATAATTAGATTTTTTTTTTGCTTTCATATACCTACTAATGATTTACTGTCTGTTATTAAGGTAATGCGAAATTTGATGGGCACCCACATGGGTCATTCAGCTTTGTACACTATGTGTCGAATACTTCAAGAGCCTGAATTAAAAAATGATGGGGGTTTATTGAGGGGCGCCGTCGTCTTCATATACATGAGTTTATGGGGTCCTCATTCCCAACCTTTGNATCCTCTGAGTCCATTATATATTTTATTATTTGAGCTTTGGTTTAAAAGTTTCTTAATGGCTAAAACAAAAATAATAGAGATGGTTTTGATATATTACACATAATCTGTATTCAAATTGTATTTATTTTTAGATGAAAAAAATCCTTTTAACTTCTTTCAGTTTTTAAAGTGTAACATCATGATGATTACTGTAAGACCTTAACTCTTTTTTATTTTAAATGTGCAATTAAGGAACAAGTTACTGTATCATTATTTACCAATTTAATAAGTCATCAAATTAAACCGTCAATTAGAAAATTTTATGTGTTTCTCATAATGAGAAACAAAAGCCTCAAAAAATGAATGGATAATAAAAGCATTATGGTAACTATTTTTACCATTCGCAGGAACCATGGGGTATGCGGACTTATTAAACGGGTTGAACGGGATGCGCAGGATACACAGAATCATTACATGAATTCTCAGATACATGGCTAGCCTATTTAACTTCATCATGTAGTAATTTCTGTGTATTCCTTGTATTCCCGAGAAGTCAAAATAGCCACTTTGAAAGAAATTACCATAATCAGAATGTTTAATTATTTTTAACTTTTACTTACATTGTTTTTCTTCTTCGCTAAATTCTTGTTTAGGAAATTCCACGTCGAAAGTTATATAAAGAATTCCATGTAAATTGTTATTGTCATAATTTGGCATTCCTTCACCTTTCTTGCGAATACGAGCTCCTGGCCAAGTAACTTTATCTCTTGTGACTGATACTATATGACCATCTAAATGTTTTAATTCTAAAGTAAAACCAGTTAACGCATCCTGCAATAAATAAATATATTTGAATTTTACTGATAATACGTAAATCATTAAATTGCCTGATTGTGATAATATAGCTATTTTTTTACAATAGTACTTTAATGGTTCAAATGAAAAAATTTGTTTCATGTTTAGGGGATGATTATCACCAGTAAAATCATAAATTTTCAATATTTTGTTTTGTAGATTTTGCAATAACACCAGATTATTCCAATAATCTCTGCCCCACACTACACTTCCTTAAGTTGTAATTAAAATAAAAAACGCATAATAGAGTTTATGAGTATTAGGTGACACTTTTAGATAATTGGCGGAACACAAAAACAAGGTATTTGATCTTTTTACGTTTATAGGCAATATGCCTATCCCATATTACATTAGAATCACTTCTTTCCTTTATCTTTACAACAGTAACCATCTATTTATAATCAAACAATTGCTTATTATTTTCCGGAAAATTTACGTATCAAACCAATTTTCCTCTACTGAAATAATGGCAATATCGTCAGCGTAGGCGATTATAGCTTAATAGTCCAATAATTGGAACATATCATTTATGAACAATAGAAAAAACAAAGGGCCCAAAATAGTGCCTTGCGGAACCTCCATCATTACAATTATGTAATCGCTTTCATTGTCATTTACTTTTGCTCTTTGCTTTTGGTTAGTAAGGTAACTTTCCAACAGTTCACTTACATTAATACATTGCCCCTAATTCCTATAATTAGAAGATTGGATATTATTTCTGCTATTTTAAGTTGAAGGTTCTGCTATATAATTGGATATAACGTTTAATGATTTACTGCTTGTACTGTCAATATCTCCTCTGTGAATTTCAAATTGTGGTTGACTGATTTAATTTCAGAAGTGTTATCTGGTATGAGAAATACTGATATATCATATCAAGCATAGTTAGGTCTGTTGACTTTCTCTAATAACTTCGTACCAATATTAGAGTGGTAGTCATTCCTGTGATTAGCAATTCGATTTATTAGTTTAAAATTATTTATTTGTAATTATGCATTTGATGTTATTTTCTTTCTTTTTTGATATTTATATTCAAACTAATCACACCCCCTAAGCCTTTTGACATTATGCTGTTAATCTTTATTAGATTTTTTATATGTTTTCTTTAATCTCACATGAATTGACAATAGCTTCAGTATTCCAATCTTTTCACAATTTATTATTCTTTCTGTGATTGACAGTTTTTGCTTTCTCAATACATTGATTCATTTTCTCAATCATATTGTTTATAGTTAATACTAATTATTTAAGAATAAACCAATGATTGTAAACTCACCTGTAGACTAATAGTAATGTTTGTGAAAAGATCATCTCCTTTTCTTTCAAAAATAGGATGAGGTTGTGTTTTAATTTTAAGAATTAAATCTCCTGGCTCTCCATCTAGATGTGGTTCACCTTCAGCTGTAAATTTAGTTTCTTGTCCATCTACCATCCCAGGTTCAACTTCCATTTCTAAAAGTCGTTCTTCATTGACTAATTTAACATTTGGACATTCATCACAAACAGTCTGTTGCATCATTTGAAAGCGGCCAGGTCCCAATGTCCTGGTTACCATCTCTTGTCTACAATTGCACTGCCTTGTACCCTTAGCTGGTTTCATAACTGGTTTATATCTGGTTATCTATTAATGAAATTATAATAAGCCTGTAGTAATTCTATAAAAAATAGCCAAGCTACATTCATACCTCTACAAATGTGCCTGTATACAGATCTTCCAAAGTCACTGGAACGTCCATCACTATATTAGCACCCTTTGGAGTTTCATGTTGCTGTTCTCCACCACCAAAGTGAAATCCAAAATCTCCGAAAAAACTAGCAAATGGGTCAAAACCACTATCCATCATTCCCTCTTTCTGAAGGCATTCTTCTCCACATCTATCATATTTTTTTCGTTTTTCCTCGTCGGAAAGAACTTCGTATGCGGCTCCTAAGTCTTGAAATTTCTGTGAAGCATCTGGATCATCCTTGTTCTTATCAGGATGTAATTCCTTAGCTAATCTTCTATAGGCTTTTTTTATTTCATGTAAACTGGCTGTTTTTGAAACCCCCAAAATTTTGTAAAAATTTCTTCCAGCTGATACATAGGTTAGGAAAGCAAAATAGTTTAATACTACCACCATACAAATAAATTTCAAATCCATTATCTTCGTTTTGTATAAACTTAACACTTTACATTTAAATTAACTAGTTGTTTAAACTTACACATGGGTTGATTATTATTTAATGTTATCTTTTCCTTTTTTGATTTTATACGTTCCACATAATCACACAAATCATTCGTTAATAATTTGGGTCCTTATCTATGATTTGTGCAAAAACATGTGGATAACTCTTATTGGTTCAAACTTCAAACAAGGTTCATCATAGATAATAGAGGTTCATCAATACCATAGGTTCAAACTATTCATAACTATTTATCAGCAATGATTCAAACCAAATATTTCTCGGCTAGGCAACCCAATTTTCATCCTGACATGCATGGAAATTCGATAAAATGAATAAAACCATGTAAAATATTAATAAATCATACCCACTCTCAATAATCCGATACTTAACAGTAGGTTTTGGATAATAATGTGGTATTTTCTAAATCATTATTAAATATTGACGCTAAAACGGTTCACAAAATATTTTTATCAGAGAATATCTGTGACACCTTAAAATATGTGGAACATGTTAAACCAGAAATCATTTCGTTAATTATAAATATGCTTTTAAGATAAAATCTTATTATGAAGTACCTAACTCTTAAAATATTCAAAAGTTGAAATGGTTATCGACGCAATGAATAACGCTTTTACATAGATTAATCATCGTCATGTTTTTTAATCAACTACAACAGAGTAATATTGTATATTATTCAGCAATGGTTCAAATGACGAAATTGTAAAAAGTTTTTCTTTAAAAGTAACAGCTTGAATTCATATGATGAATAGAGTTAATATTGAAAAATTATCAACAGTTTCAATTTACAATTCTCTAAAAAGGGATTCGCTCCACTACTGTATGAAAAATATATTAATTTTGTCGCAGATATGTGCTTTTATTCCTGTTGATGGTATTTCGGGATGTCCTCACGATCTTAAGTTTAGGTGGCGATCTTACAAAACCATTTACACCCTTTTGGTATTACTGTTGCAAACTATTTACACTTTGATCACAATAATATATGCTACTAAGAACGAAAAAAATTTTAATAGTTTTGGTAAGTACAGGTATATCATTTTTGCGGCAGTAATAATTTAATAAATTTTTTAGTTTTAGTACTTTGGAATTTTCGATGTGTTTTATCCTTAATAGCATTTTTAAAAGTTGCACAAAAATGGCCTAGATTTATGCAGGAATGGTCTGAAATGGAATTATTTATGATAGACTATCCTTCATTTTTAAATTTAAACCGAAATTTGCGTATTAAATCGATAGTATTTTTACTTCCGGGGTTGTGTAAGAATATTATTTCTTATCATTATTAACAATTAATTCTTAACTGAATTAATTTGATTGATGTTTTAGCATGATACAGTAAAACTTGTTTATATAAATTAATGACATATACGTTTTAGTTGAACATTTACTCTTCATTTATAAAGGCTTTCAACAAATATCTCATACTACTGAAGGCAAAAACAATCCCTTAAAAATTTATTTCGAGCAAATGTACAAGGAAGTATTTGATTTGATTAACTTCAATCCAATTGTAGCCATAATGGTAGAGGTAGGTTTGGTTTATATTGTGAATAATAAATTATACCGCAAACATCATCCAGAAACCTCCTATGCATGCTTTATGTCTATGAGGTTTGAAACACCCTGTACAACGTATTTAAATACTTAACAGACCATAAACTTTTTTCATTTTTTTAGTATTGTGCATTAATCAGTACATATATGTGGCAGTTTGTGGACTTTTTTATCGTTATACTTTCTTTCGTTATGGCGCAAAAGTTTCGAGAAATAAATTCCAAAATAAAAACTTTAATGGTAAGTTATTTTCTTGTNCTATAAAAAATAGCCAAGCTACATTCATACCTCTACCAGCTACAGGTAGCTCTCGCAAATGATACACGGCTATCGTTTGTTTGATGTACGAACGTCCTACTACATTCCCAACCATCATTGTCGTCTACGTGTATGCAAACTTCAATAACTTCATATATGTATCGTGACACATTTTATTCGAGATAAGACTAAGCGTTTAAGGAATAAAATAAAAAATTTAATCAAAATCTATCCTGTAGTTCTTGCGTGATGCCTGCACATAGAAAACCTAGCTGTCATTTTATGCATATGGATATGGATGTCCGTTATAAAAGCACTTTACTTTTACAAATTCATCTTTAATTAGTATGCTGTATTTGAACTTTACGCAGGTTCTATTAATTAATATATCATTATCTTCTTCATCTTTTTTCGGGTCGTATCTTTTAAAAACAAAGTAGCAGCATACAAAAACGTCTAAGTATTTTATTTTATATGCCTTAAACGAAGATTTTATAACGGACAAAGAAGTCAAATTTGCTTCAACCAAGGGTGGCAAAGTTACATTACATTTTATTGGGTTCTCCTTATAGATGTATTCTCTAACAGTTGGATCGAAAGGGTCCATATCTGGGATTCTACAACCGGTTGTTTTTATGAGGTAGCCCCGCAAATTTTCCCGAATTGGGATTTTGTGGTCGGTACTTTTTAATGGATATATTAAAGTCATTTTGACATCCATTTCTCTGTAAGGAAGGCGGTAGTCGATGAAAAGTAAAACTGATCCGCAGAAAAATATCAGAATCCACAACAGAATTGCTGGTCGTAATTTCCAACATGACTCGCTTACATTCATTGGTCGGTATTTAAACCTGATAAAGAAACATATAAACGTTTTCAATTAAATAATGATAATAAAAATATCACACATTTATATTTATTTGTTTGACGTATTTCATTTATTTTAATTAATAATTTAGGCACATTAAAGCTTTCAGTTATAAACGTACATTTTTTATTAAAAATGTAACATAACATGATATAAATAATCCACTGCGATGTTTCAAATTGTTAAGATTCACACAATTTTACTTTGATGTGTATATTTTTTAAACCCATTTGTGTATATAAAATCACAAAATAATCTAAACATTATTAACTCGATAATTTGAAATTTTGTTTTGATTACAAAATCGAAGTTTTGAATGGAAACTAGTGTGTGTATTTTTCATTCATTAATTTAAACATAATTTACAAAAAAGTGAAAACACGTTTTTAAAATTTGTTGTAGGCAAGTGTCTAAGTCATACTTATATTGTAAAAAGTATTTTAATGTAAAAACCAATTAAACGTAAAAGTACCTAATACTGATATGTTATTGAAGAAGTAAATAGCAAACCTTTTTCAAATCCGTTCCTTCATGAAGCTTTAATTTTTAATATTGTTAATTCAATATTTGTATTAATTTAAGATACATTTTTCATATAATTTCCTGCCGGTGTTGTGCAACGATTAATATTACCAGTCACATCATATTGTCTGATTCGCACCTTAACGTCACCGTCGCGATGCGTCGGTCGATTTGACGCTGGGCGTCTTTAGCGCATGACTACATATCGTGGTTTTTGAAGCAAAAAGTTATATGGTGACTGTATAGTTAAAATCCAAATACTGACACCACAAGAGCTTATAATTGTTAATAAAAACAACCTTTTATTAACAATTTTGAAAATATCCATTTTGCATTTTGTATTTCCAAATGTTTTTTTACAATAATTTTACATTTAGGAAGTATTTGTATCATTTCATATTTTGGGTCTTCAGTTTTAAACACATGGTACAATAACTAATTTCCTCATCTCCGCTTTTAATCTGTTACTTTTTTTTTAATTCGTGAACCGCAAAATGACATCTTATTCTGAATAATTAATTATATTTCCCTCTTTCTATGACAGCTTCTGTACGTAAATAAACGAATAAATAAGCAAATCAAATAAACTTTACTTACCTTTTTAGACAAATCTTGTACGGCAATAAAAATAATATTAAGTGTTATTTTAGCTAAGGATGCTGATAGTTTATTGATAAAAAAACC